TTCACTTGAAAGTCAATCAAATTCTTCATCTTTTTCCTGCACTATAGTTTCTGGTGAGAGTCTTCAGCACTATCCCCTATCATTCACTTCTTTAAAATCGTATAGGAGAATATAGTCTCCCGTGTAAGCGGGGGCTGGAGGTTTCCGACCCACCAGTGTCCCTCCTTCCCCCACCTCCCCAGGGGACAGCAGGCCTCAGCTGCGAGGTCCAGCAGCAAGAAACAGCTGCCCCTGCTCTGCCCTCCTGCGGCTCTGCAGCTGGGCGGGCCTGCGCCCTCTCCCCTCCCCGACAGACCAGCCGGCCGGCCGAGCTTCTGGGACAAGGAGGGCACCCGAGCGGAAGGGCGGCCCTGGCCTGGCAGTGCGGCACTCACGCTGGCCGGAGCTCAGCCGCCCAGGCCTGCGAGGACCAGCAGCAGGGACAGCATGGCGACGACGCCGCTGGTCTTCGCAGGGTGGGGCCGTTGGGGGTGGAACAGCTGCAGCTCAAGGTCACAGGTCCCCGGATTCTCCCCTTGGCGGGGAGGGGCAAAGGGAGATGGAGGCGCAGGACGGGGGTGGGGTGGGGGTGGGTAACAGAAGCCCCTCAGGGATGCCCCCCAATCCCCCCCAGATTGCTGCACTTGCAGAGGCCTGCCAGACCCTGTGCTACCCGCCCTGTGGGCTTTGTTTTCCAAAAAGTTAAAATTTAAAAGGTATTCAGAGGTCACATAACGGTTATAAAGCACATTTTCCTCCTCTAGGCCATCGGCTGGTGAAGCTCTCGGCAATATCAACATTTGATGACATCGTTTTCTGGTACAGTGGTTGAATTACTGCAGCAAAGGAGACCCGAAAAAAGAAACTCACAATATGTGTAGTGGCAGCCAATTGCAGCCATATCTACTTCTAGTTTTCTACTGTAAGTCTCAGGTCAAAACACACACATACAGTAAAAAAATAAATAAATAATACATAAATTTCTTGGAAAACTAAAGATTCCAAATAAAATGGTAAGTCTAAATATGTGTATGTTTTACTACTCTAGTATTGATTTATAACAAATATCATTCAAACAAAAATCACAAGTAGGTAATTATTCTGTAAACAAACAATCAAATCTATAACCCCTGCTCTTTGGAAGACTGATGCAGGAGGATCACATGAGGCCAGGAGTTTGAGGCTGCAGTTAGCTATGATCTTGCCCTCTAGCCTGGCTAACAGAGAGAGATCCTGTCTAAAAAAGGAAAATAAAAATCCAGCGCCAAATCCAAATACATTTATGTATTCGCTTTTGTACACTTTGGTTTCTTAGAAAAACCTCTGCCTTAGTTATTCCTTAGGGACACTAAATGAAAAGCTAGACATAAATTTTTCCTGAGTCTGGGTGCATTTCTTTGTTCTCTTGCTGCATAAAAAATTGTCACAAACATAGTAGCTCAAGGTGATACACATTTATTATTATATCTTGCAGTTTGTGTGGGTAGAATTCATATTCAACAGAAAATCAATATAAACAAGGCCATCAATAACAAAGATATTGAGACTTCCAGATAAGGCTATTAAAACAGCTATTATAACTGAATGATTTAAAAGAAATTATGATCATAGTGGAGACTTAGAAAGAATCAAAATACCAAGTTGAAATTTTAGAGCTAAGAAATAGACTATCTCTATTGAAAATTTCATTGGCCGTACATAAGAATATCTAAGACAATACAGAAATAAAATCAATAAACTTGATAATAAGGCAATGAGACTATCTAAATAGAAAACATAAAGAAAAAAATGGCTGATAAAAATATACAAAGAAACAGGAACATGTGGAACAATATAAAGAAATCTATCATATATGTAAACAAAAGTCCCAGAAAGAGAGCAGAGAAATATTTAAAGGAATAATAACAGCTAATTTTTTCCGAGTTTGGTGAAAATTGTATTCTAGAAAACATTAAGATTGCCAAGAAGAATATATACAGACAGGCTACATATACACCGATCCTAACTACATCAAGACTAAACAATTAAATAAAATGTGCTAAAAAGTAAATCATGAAAGCAGCTAGAAAAAATATATATAACTATTTTCAAAGAATAATAATGATAGTCTGAGACATCTCACCAGAAAATATGCAGGAAAAAGATGAAAAATTGATGACTTTCAAGTGAGGAAAGAAAAAATAAATCAGAAAAATAAATCCTAAGTGCAGAGATCAACCAGAAAACTACACAAAAAGAATTTTCAAAAGACTTTCTTTAGGAAGAAGGAAAAGAATATCAGTGAAAAGCATAGAAAGAAATGTTAAATACTTTGAAAAGTACATAATATTACTCATTTTAAATCTAAGGATAATTAATTTTATAAATGGAAAGACAATATCTTCTGGAGTTTTTTCATAAGAAGAAAGTTAATATATGACAATAGCAGAAAGAATATGAGAAAGCAAACAGAATTATATTGTTTTAAAGTTCTATATTATGTAAGTTGTATTATATTGAGTATAAATATAAGTTAAAGACCTATATGGTAAAACCGTGATCAATCACAGAACAGAAAGGAAAATGGAGCTCCAAAGGGCTATTAATGAACACTAGACAATTCAAAAGAAGTAAAAAAAGAAAAAAATACAATAGAAAGAATGAAGATTACTAGGCTGTATTTTTTAAATATCAAAAAGATAGATATAAACCCAAACATAGCAATACCTACACTAAATGTAGCAATTCTAAACATGCAGATAATAAAATTGAGTCATGTCAGCAAGACTATGGACAGAATAGTGTTATAGTCGAGATCTGCAGGGCCGTGGGACAGAGAGACAGAGTCACCGAGGCTGTATTATCAAAAGGAGTTTTATTGTCTAGCTGGAGCTAGGGTTCCAGCCCCCAGAGTGCCAGCGCAGTGGCCTCTTCTTTCAGCAGGGACCTCCTCTTGTGTGCTAGTGAGCCTTTTATACCTAAGTTGTTTACACACTGGTCATGAATCCACCACCACAGTGATTCTTATTTCATCCTGCCCCTGATAGGCTCCAACCTGTTCCGGGTCCTAGCTGAGAGACTCCGGTTTCCGCGTTCTTTGTCTTTCTCCTCTGCATCCCATAATGTACTCATAATGCCTTGCAGTTAGCAAGCAAGCAGTAAACAGAAGCTGGAAGGTGTCCATTGTCCTAATAGCCCAGTATCTTACAGTAGGTAGCCAGTTTTCTCCTTCCCCTACAGTGATAATGACTTAACAATATTATATGTAAAAATTATCTTTGAGAAATCTATTATAGAAACAAATCAAGAGTTTCCTTACCAAAAGAAAAGTGCAACCAAGAAGAATCTCATCAAATCAGGTAGAAAAGCTTCTGCCATTTACTTGCTGTAGCCCCTCCTCCAAAACAGCACAGCATGTTCATGCCATAACTCCCAACTCTCCGCTTCTGTGGAGGGAAATATAAAAGTAAATTTTCTGGGGATTCCCCAAGGAAGTGGTGGTTTCTGTCTTACATGAATCCAAACTTTTATTGGAATAGGTACCATGTGGGGCCAATGAGAACAAAGGATAACAAATGGCTTAATCTAGCACAAGTGAGACTGTAGTACCAACAACAGACAGGAGGCAGAGCGCCTGTTGCATGTCTTGCTACAAAAACACAAAAGACCCAGTATCACTGAGAGACAGCAGGCAGCCTCTAAGTAGAAACTGGTAAACCTCAAGAAGGCGATCACTCACACAAACAAAGAAGTCACATTTGAGAGTTGAAAGGTTTCAAGAATGTCAAGCTGCGCTGATTAGTGAAGTTTATAGATATATAATATATATACACATATATGTATGTATTATATTTTATATATATATCAATTACTTTAAACTGCTTTAGGAAAACTGTTTTTATTTTATTGTGAATTCCAAATACAATTACACACATTTTTAAAAATATAGTTGCTCAGTAGTAGAACACAATCACGATGGGTTCCAATGTTGGATGCCAAAATAGATTTAATGGATTTTATTGTTTTACTTACTCGTATTTCTGCAATTGCTCCTTCAACATGAAGAAAATTTCTCATGGTTAACGTATGTTGATCCCATCATTCTAATCACATGGAAATCTAAATCCCTATATCATGACTTCCAGTTTATAGCTACATCAGTAATCAAGAAAATGCAGTCATGCGGCACATGACATTTCAGTCAACAGTGGACCTCATACACAATAGTGGTTGCATAAAATTATAATAGAGCTGCCCTATACAGATGTGCCATTTTTAAACATTTTAATATCATATTTTTCCATACCTTTTCTATGTTTACATACACAAATACTTAGCATTATTATACAATTGCCTACAGTATTCAGGCCAGTAACATGCTTCACGAGTTTGTAGCCTAGGAGCAATAAATAGGCCATACGATAGAGCCTAGCTGTGTAGCAGGCTATGTCATCTAGGCTTGTGTAAGTGCACTCTGTGACGTTTGCACAACGATGAAATCACCTAATTACACGTTTCTCAGAGTATCCCTGTTGTTCAGCAACACCTGACTATGCTGTCTTCAATTTAATTGCTTTTTGATATAGCAGCTAAGAATTTTTCCCAACTTCTTTTTCCAGTTAATGTTTATTTATTGCAATATAGTTTTCAACATAGTTGGGTAAATGTGACATTTTTAGGTATCCTTTTCTTTTCTCTTTTTTTCCCCCTTCTTTTTTTGGTCATCACTCCTAAGTGTTATGCTTCTGGATCAATTTTCCATGTCTAAATTTTACTCAAGATAAATTTTTCTATCATTTAGGTCACTGACAAATTTTTATAATTGGCAGGCTGGACCACTGCCACACAGATTTTGTATTGATTTTTTTTTCTACCAGTGTGATTGCTGGGAAGTATATAATATTTCTTAAAAATTGTGAACAAGTATGTAAGAAGAGATAGAGAGTTGAAAGGCATGAGTTAGGTGTTAACAGTAAAGATGTAGGAACAGGAAGATCAAAATGTCCTAACAAATAAAATACAACAGTCAAAATATTTTGCTTTGCAAGTGACTAAAAATTAGTACGGCTTGGCATACTACAAAAATAAATAAAAATTGCCTTAAAATTTTAAATTACGAATCAAACATTCTTAACCGTTTACTTTCTCTGAAACTACACTATCCATTTGATCTTATCTACCATAGAACTACGACATGCAGGACTAATCCTTCAGATTCTGCAATGAGAACAGGCTTGTATATATATTTTTTTCCCTCAACATCAGTCTCAACCAAGAACGGGTTCTTATCCTGGATCCCATAGTCTAAACTTTTAATTTCTCGTATGTGTCCACACACTCCTTCTTGTTCCCAGGTTTCACGATACTATCAATGGCACATTGAAAACGACCAAGGCACAAACAAACCGAAAACTTACACATTTCGGGTCTACAGGGCTTATCCGGGTCCTTTTCAGAATCACCCAGGCTTGCTCTCCTCAGGACTCTGAGGAGAAACTCAGGCGGTGCCCCACCCCCACCCGCACCCCCCTCCATCCCATCCCCCTGCGCGCCCTGAGGGGCGGCCTCAGCTGGTGACACCCTGGTCTTGGGAGGGCGACGCGGTGGCGGGAGGCGCCAGACGGAGAGAGGGGTGAGGTCTCAGAGCAACAGGGAACTGTTCCCCAGGAAGAGCCCAGCCTGCTGGGAAGCAGGAGGCGGCGCCACTGGAGGCTGCGGCGGACTGACCTGGGCGGAGCTGCGGCAGAGCCATCCCGGCGTGCACAGCGAGGACGAGGAACACGCTTGGCCACCGGCAGAGGGCGCAGCCAGGAAGGCGGCTTTCTTTGGTGTAGCGCGGAGTCTTATGGCCACCACCTGAGAGGGGCCCTAGCGGTGAGGACTGAGGTGGCTTTCAGCCAGGGTGGCCTGAGCCACAGGGACCCCTCACATAACTGGAAGGCTTCTACAATGGTGGCTGGTGGAACGCCAGATACAAGCGCCCGCGTTTGTGCACACTGGTTTGTTTGCAGAAGTTTAATTCTTTGAACGCCTCAGTAGAGCGGCAGATGAACCTCATTTGCCCCTTGAGTGACGTCCTTGGTAATTCTGTTTCTCCGAATCAGGGTTTTCTAGCAGGTTTTATTTACTGTGGTAGAGGAGAAAAGGGGGGAAAGAGAAATGTGCACTATCGTTACCAGCCATTATTGCTATCATTTTCCTCCATTGCTACTGCTGACTTAATAACATTCTCTTTGCAAATAAGAAAAAAATCAAGAAAATGGAACTTGATCTTGATAAGGAAGGCAGTCAACAATCACATTTCTTCAACTGTACAACTTTCTTATAATAGTAGAGTATAAACAAGTGGAGAAAATAGAAACCTTTAAAACACAGCCTGTTTTGTTAAGTGACTCTAAGCAATAACTAAAAGGCTTTGGAGGTGGGGGTGCAGCAAGCCAGGGGGAGAGGAAAAGTGACCCCACTGCAGAAGAAAGGGCACGCAACTGGCTCCTTCAACTTTCTGACAAATATCTGAAACTGCACATGTCCAAAACCTCATTTTTCTTATATTCCACCTTTCACTCAAACCTTCTTTTACCCCGAAGACCGTATTTCAGAGATGAATTGTCTCAATGGCTGTAAAAATAAACTCTTGGCAGGCATAAATTTTGACCTGACAGTAGGGACTGGTACACCTGGACAATTGATGGGTCAGAAATTATTATCATAATAAGGCAGGAAAGTGATCATAATGGCCCAAAATAAGTTAGTGCAAATGAGGATGTGGGAAATGTGGTAGAATCATCCCAATCTATGTTTTTAAAAAGCTATATTGTGATATAATTCACATATAATTCACCCAATTAAAATGTACAATTTAAAGATTTTTAGTATGTTCACAAATGTATGTGACCATCACCAGGTAATTTCTGATTGATTTCATCTCATCAAGAAGAAACCCTGTTCCCATTAACCTTCTACCGCCAGTTCTTCATCCCCCACCCCACCCCCACCCCCACCCCCAGCCCTAAACAACCACTACACTAATTTCATCTCTAGAGATGTCCCTTTTTTGGACATTTCATACAAATGAAAACACATATAAATATATGGTCTTTGTGACCAGGTTTACTCACTTAGCACGATAGTTTCAAGGATCAACCACGTTGTAGCAGTATCAGTGCTTTTTTTCCTTTTGTGGATGACTAATATTCCATTGTTTGGATATACCACATTCTGTTTATCTATTCCTCAGTTGGTAGACATTTGAAAGAGGAAATTCTAGGCCTCTATGATGATTTTCTTCCATCTTTGTCTCAGGAGCATCTTTGGTTTTGGGGGAAGACTCTGTAGGTTCCAAACAGACTCCAGGTGGGCTGATGGTGCTACTCTCAGGTGTGTAGAAGTACCTCCATCCCATCCAAAGAGGGATGGTAAGAGTAAAGATTGAAGCAAGAAAAATCATACTTAGAAAAGTTCGGCTTAAGTAAAGACCACAGGGCAAATTTGGGTTTTCTCAAAGGACAAAGAAATATTCTACATAGTTTGTACAGAGTCAAGGAAGCTTATATACCTGATGGAACAGGTACATATGATCCTGATCTTAGTTTGAGCAATCCATTTATTGTAGAATGGATGCTAGTGACTATCTGTGGAGTTTGGGGCTGACCTGATCCAGAAATTCTTCCTCTCAATATTCCAAAACCTGGAGCGGACAGAGCAGGGGAATGATGGCCTATTTAAGAGGCATGGGCTGTGGGTGTTCTCTCTTGAGCTGGGAGCAGTTAGCATGGCCATCGGCATGCAAGAGTGGGCAGCAGCAGTGAATGATGAAAGTTTTTTAGCTAGGTATATTACAACCTCCAGAGTTAAAAAGAGACAAATCTCTTTATTTCCTACTTAAGGGCCACAGTGGGTAGACACAAGACTGCATGCTTTTAGTCATAGAATTTATTTTGATTTATTAAATTGAAAGATTTAACCCTTTGCACTCGGATGTTGAGTGTGGATAATGTTGAGTGGATGATGAGAAAAAAGCAAGCGAGTGTAAAGGGTTAAGCAATAAAAAAAAAAGTAAAGAAAGGGTTTTTTTTTTTTCATCCTTGTATCAGGCCTGTTAACAGTGAGTTTCTTGGAAATATCGTTTCTGCAACCTATGGCTTTTTGATAATATCACTTAGTTACTGGTATTAAAAAATGTAAAAATAGAAATGCTAAATTTTCACGATAAATAAAGGCTAATTTACTTATGTGACTACAAGTATAGCAATTAGTCAGTATAATAAGACTGGTTATACTGTTGCAATCTGTGCCTATAATCCAGGCAATTTGCAAACCCGGGTTTCTTTTTCATGAATAGTTTATGATAGTCACATTAAAAGGAAATATTATAAATTGTTATTTGCATGTGTCTTACTTAGACAGTCTCTTAAACTTTACATGGATAAAATAAAATCCCCAACAAGGAAACAGAGAAAAAGCAATGTAAATATGTAAAGAAATAGAAAAGAGTTACTATTAATTTGCATATTTTTATTTGCTGACGAAGAGTACTTCCAGAAACGCTGTACACACTCTGGGAAGGAAGCCAAAATTTGAGGACCATGGCCTGGAGGCATGCCCAAGAAACCTTGAGTAAGTGGACTCACTGTGGTTGGGTTATACATGTGGTTTGGTTTTACATGTTTCAGGGGGATAGGAATTACACGTAAAGTGGTAAATGAGTACATGGAAGGCATACACTGGTTTGGCCAAGAAAGGTGGGCTATCTCAAAGTGGGGGCTTACAGGTTATAGGTGGGTTTAAAGACTCTGACTTATAATTGGTTAAAAAAAAATGAAGGTTTGTCTAAAAGGTTGGGACATTTTAAGTTAAGCTAACAAAGTCTGCTAATCAGAGACAAGCTACTGGCCATATATTTGTTGTGTAAATTGAGGACTTGCAGGTTTCTCTTCCATAGCCTTAGGCCTGTCCATGATTTACAAAGGATGTCCCTAAGAAGGGAGGGGTGCATGATGAGCCATGTCTGACCTCCCTCTCTTGGCTGGCAACTCAGTTCTAGGGTATCCCATTAGCCAGAAGGGGGTCCATTCAATCAGCCAGTTGTGGGGAGTTTTAATATTTTATTTTAGTTAACATGATCGTTCCATCATCTCAAAACCTTTGTTACTAATGTTCTAGTGTTTGAAGTGATTCCATCCCCTCAATACATTAATGGAGAGGGTAGTTTATTACTTCCAACAGAGAGGGTAGGTAGGAGGAAAAATATAGCCAGTTCAAAGATCATATTTGAGATGACCTCTCTCCTCACTTTTGAGAAGAGTAACAGTTTGCTCCAAGTAGTATCTTATTTCAGGAGAAAGAGGTTTTGGAAACCATGATATGCCATAATATATATGTAGTGATAATTTATTGGTAAGTATTTTATTTCTAGTAAAAGAGTTCATCATATTTTTTCCTATTTCACATTTATTAATGTTTCAAGTATTATGAAAAGTAAAAAAGTTATTGTAATGGCAAATAATCTCATGATCATGATTTTTTAAGAAGAGCTCTATACATTTTATCTTATTGACCTTTGGTGTTTTGACATAAATGGCCTCTTTTGTATTTGTATATTTATTCCACAGAAATACCTGTCATTTTTAATAAGGGTACTAGAAGTAGAGCCAGAGGAACTCTGGGAGGGCCAGGCAGGAGGATCTCTTGAGGTTAGGAGTTAGAGACCAGTCTGAGCAAGAGTGATACCTTATCTCTACAAAAATAGAAAAACTTAGACATACATCATTATATGCACCTGTAGTCTTAGCTACTCGAGAGGCTGAGGCAGGAGGATCACTTCAGCCCAGGACTTTGAGGTTACTGTGAGCTAAGCTGATGCTTAGGGTGCACAGGGTGTCAGAGGGAGGCTCTGTCTCAAAAAGAAGAAGGAGAAGAAGGAGGAGAAGAAGGAGAAGAAGAAAGAAGAGAAAAGAAGAGCTTGGGGAAATCCTGCAGCTTGCTTATATTTTTAACCTCTTCCTTTCAGAATTATCATACCTAAATGTGTTCATTAGTGTATAAAAAAGTGATTAGTACAATGCCTAGATTTATCATATAGCAATCAATGTAATTTTTATAACTGACTACAAAAATGCTAGCAAAGCAGAAATCTATTGACTATTCTCAGGAAAATGGAACTTAAAGCACTTAGAGAAATTTCATCTGTCTGAATATATGGAGAGCTAAGTCTCCTACTATGGGGTGATGTGTAGGCTAGATATATAGAATGTAAACTCTATTTTTTAATGTAGTCAAATTTATTAATCTTTCATTTTATACCTTTGAGTTTGTTATAATTCAGAGAAAGACTTTTCCAGTACTGAGATCCTCAAAAATTTGCTAGTGGTTTCTATTTTACTTTCATGGATTGATTGTTTTCAAATAAATTTTTGAATTTTTGGAAACTTATGCTCCATAAGGTTTGGAGCCCATTTTTTCCCAGTTGGATATCAAGTTATTGCAATCCCTTCATTGTATAAATGTACAGGTTATTCTTTACTTACAGAGGAAATCATGATAGGTCATTTTATTTAGTACTAGCTAAAACTTTCCTTTGTTTTACTTAGATTTCTCATAATTATGTAAAAGAAAAGAATCTGTTACATAAAAATCACATGATACAGAAAGATACTGCCATGCTAATACTAGAAATAGACACAATAAAAAATAAGAGCCAGAAAAAGGAAAAGAAATATTTTGAGGTCATTGAAATTGTCAAAGAAAAGAATGATAGCCTTCAAAAAAAGTATGCAACTGCATGAGA